GGAAGAGGACGGGGGAGGAAGAGGATGGGGAGGAAGAGGATGGGGGAGGAAGAGGATGGGGGAGGAAGAGGATGGGAGGAAGAGGATGGGGGAGGAAGAGAACGGGGAGGAAGAGGATGGGAGGAAGAGGATGGGGGAGGAAGAGGATGGGGGAGGAAGAGGATGGGAGGAAGAGGATGGGGGAGGAAGAGGACGGGGAGGAAGAGGATGGGGAGGAAGAGGATGGAGGAGGAAGGAGGATGGGGGAGGAAGAGGATGGAGGAGGAAGAGGATGGGGGAGGAAGAGGACGGGGAGGAAGAGGATGGGGGAGGAAGAAGATGGGGAGGAAGAGGACGGGGAGGAAGAAGATGGAGGAGGAAGAGGATGGGGGACGAAGAGGATGGGGAGGAAGAGGACGGTGAGGAAGAGGATGGGGAGGAAGAGGATGGGGAGGAAGAGGGATGGAGGAGGAAGAGGATGGGGGAGGAAGAGGATGGGGGAGGAAGAGGATGGGGAGGAAGAGGATGGGGAGGAAGAGGACGGGGGAGGAAGAGGATGGGGAGGAAGAGGATGGGGGAGGAAGAGGATGGGGGAGGAAGAGGATGGGAGGAAGAGGATGGGGGAGGAAGAGGACGGGGAGGAAGAGGATGGGGAGGAAGAGGATGGAGGAGGAAGAGGATGGGGAGGAAGAGGATGGGGGAGGAAGAGGATGGGGGAGGAAGAGGATGGGGAGGAAGAGGATGGAGGAGGAAGAGGATGGGGGAGGAAGAGGATGGGGAGGAAGAAGATGGGGAGGAAGAGGACGGGGGAGGAAGAGGATGGGGGGGAAGAGGATGGGGGAGGAAGAGGATGGGGAGGAAGAGGATGGGGAGGAAGAGGATGGGGGAGGAAGAGGATGGAGGAGGAAGAGGAAGGGGGAGGAAGAGGATGGGGGAGGAAGAGGATGGGGAGGAAGAGGATGGAGGAGGAAGAGGATGGGAGAGGAAGAGGATGGGGAGGAAGAAGATGGGGAGGAAGAGGATGGAGGAGGAAGAGGATGGGGAGGAAGAGGATGGAGGAGGAAGAGGATGGGGAGGAAGAGGATGGAGGAGGAAGAGGATGGGGGAGGAAGAGGATGGGGGAGGAAGAGGACGGGGAGGAAGAGGATGGGGAGGAAGAGGATGGGGAGGAAGAAGATGGGGAGGAAGAGGACGGGGAAGAAGAGGATGGGGAGGAAGAGGACGGGGAGGAAGAGGATGGGGAGGAAGAGGATGGGGAGGAAGAGGATGGAGGAGGAAGAGGATGGGGAGGAAGAGGATGGAGGAGGAAGAGGATGGGGGAGGAAGAGGATGGGGAGGAAGAGGATGGGGAGGAAGAGGATGGGGAGGAAGAGGATGGGGAGGAAGAAGATGGGGAGGAAGAGGATGGGGGAAGAGGGATGGGGAGGAAGAGGATGGGGAGGAAGAGGATGGAGGAGGAAGAGGATGGGGAGGAAGAGGATGGGGAGGAAGAGGATGGGGGAGGAAGAGGATGGGGGAGGAAGAGGACGGGGAGGAAGAGGATGGGGAGGAAGAGGATGGGGAGGAAGAGGATGGAGGAGGAAGAGGATGGGGAGGAAGAGGATGGGGAGGAAGAGGATGGGGGAGGAAGAGGATGGGGGAGGAAGAGGATGGGGAGGAAGAGGATGGGGAGGAGGGAGGGAGGAAGAGGAGGAGGAGGAGAGGAGGAGGGAGGAGAGAGGAGAGGAGAGGGAGAGAGAGGGAGAGGAGAGGAGGGAGAGAGGAGAGAGGAGGGAGAGGAGAGAGGAGGAGGAGAGAGGAGGAGAGGAGAGGAGGGGAGAGAGGAGAGGAGGAGAGGAGAGGAGAGGAGAGGAGAGAGGAGGAGAGAGGGGAGGAGAGAGGAGGAGGAGGAGAGAGAGAGGAGAGAGAGGAGAGAGGAGGGGAGAGAGGGAGGAGGAGAGAGAGGAGGAGGAGAGGAGGGGAGAGGAGAGGAGAGAGGAGGAGAGGAGAGGAGAAGAGGAGAGGGAGGAGAGGAGAGGGAGGAGAGGAGGGAGGAGGAGAGAGGAGGAGGGAGAGGAGAGAGGAGGAGGAGGAGAGGAGAGGAGGAGAGGAGAGGAGGAGGAGAGGAGGAGGAGAGAGGAGAGGGAGGAGAGGAGAGGGAGAGGAGGAGAGGAGGAGAGAGGGAGAGAAGAGGAGGAGGAGGAGAGGAGGAGGAGGAGAGAGGAGGGAGGAGAGGAGGAGGAGAGGAGAGGAGAGGAGGAAGAGGAGAGGAGGAGGAGGAGAGGGAGGAGAGGAGGAGAGGAGAGGAGGAGGAGGAGAGGAGAGGAGAGAGGAGGAGAGGAGAGGAGGAGAGGAGGGAGAGGAGAGAGGAGGGGAGAGAGAGGAGGAGGAGGAGAGGAGGGAGAGGAGAGGAGAGGGAGGAGAGGAGGAGAGAGGAGGGAGAGGAGAGGGAGAGGAGGAGAGGAGGAGGAGGAGAGGAGAGGGAGGAGAGGAGGGAGAGGAGAGGAGGGAGAGGAGAGGAGAGGAGGAGAGGAGGAGAGGAGAGGAGGAGGAGGAGAGGAGGAGAGGAGGAGGAGAGGGAGGAGAGGAGGAGGAGAGAGAGGAGGGAGGAGAGGAGAGGGAGAGGAGAGGAGGGGAGGAGAGAGGAGAGGAGGAGGAGAGAGGAGAGAGGAGGAGAGGAGGAGAGGAGAGGAGGAGAGAGGAGGAGAGGAGAGGAGGAGAGAGGAGAGGAGGAGGAGAGAGGGAGGAGGAGGAGAGAGGAGAGGGAGGAGAGGAGAGGGGAGAGGAGAGGAGAGGAGGGAGAGGAGAGGAGGAGAGAGGAGGAGGAGGAGAGGAGAGGAGGAAGAGGAGGAGAGGAGAGGAGGAGGAGGAGGAGAGAGAGGAGGAGAGAGGAGGAGAGGAGAGGAGGAGAGGAGAGGAGGAGGAGGAGAGAGGAGAGGAGAGGAGGAGGGAGAGGAGAGAGAGGGGAGGAGAGGAGGAGGGAGGAGAGAGGAGAGGGAGGAGAGGAGAGGAGGAGAGGAGGGAGGAGGAGAGGAGGAGAGGAGAGGAGAGGAGGAGAGAGAGGAGGGAGGAAGAGGAGGAGAGAGGAGAGGAGAGGAGAGAGGAGAGAGGAGAGGAGGAGGAGGAGAGAGGAGGAGAGGAGAGGAGGAGAGAGGAGAGAGGGAGGAGAGAGAGAGGGAGAGGAGAGGAGAGGGAGGAGAGGAGAGGAGGAGAGAGAGGGAGAGGAGAGGAGGAGGAGGAGAGGAGAGGAGGAGGAGAGGAGGGAGGAGGAGAGGAGAGGGGAGGAGAGGAGGGAGAGGAGAGAGAGGAGGAGGAGAGAGGAGAGAGAGGGAGGAGAGAGGAGGAGAGGAGAGGAGGGGAGGAGAGGAGAGGAGGAGAGGAGGAGGAGGAGAGGAGGGGAGGAGAGGAGAGGAGGAGAGGAGGAGGGAGGAGAGGAGAGGAGGAGAGAGGAGGAGGGAGAGGAGAGGATGAAGAGGAGAGGAAGAGGAAGAGGATGGGGAGGAACGAGAGGGGAGGAGAGGACGGAGTGAGGAAGAGGATGGGAGGAAGAGGATGGGGAGGAAGAGGGATGGGGAGGATAGGAAAGAGGATGGAGGAGGGAAGAGGATGAGGAGGAGAGAGGACGGGGAGGGAAGGGAGTGGAGACGAAGAGGATGGGGAGGACGAGGATGGGGAGGTAGAAGAGGAGGAGGAGGAAGAGGATGGGGAGGAAGAGGATGGGGAGGTAAGAGGAGGAAGAGGGGAGGAGGAAAGAGGATGGAGGAGGAAGAGGATGGGGAGGAAAAGGAAGACGAAGAGGATGGGGGAGGAAGAGGAGAGTGGGGAGGAAGAGGATGGAGGAGGAAGAGGAGATGGGGGAGGAAGAGGACGGGGAGGAGAGAGGAGGAGGAGGAAGAGGATGGGAGGAGGAGAGAGGATGGGGAGGAGAGAGGATGGGGAGGAAGAGGATGGAGGAGGAGAGGAGGAGGAGGAAGAGGATGAGGGAGGAAGAGGATGGGGAGGAAAGAGGAGGGGAGGAAACGAGGATGGGGAGGGAAGAGGATGGAGGAGAATGAGGATGGAGGAGGAAAGAGGATCGGGGAGGAAGAGGGATGGGGAGGAAGAGGATGAGGGAGGAGGGAGGGGAGGAGGAAGTGGAGGAAGAAGATGGGGAGGAAGAGGGACGGGGAGAGAGGATGGGGAGGAAGAGGACGGGGAGGAAGAGGAAGAAGCGGATGGATGAGGAAGGGAGGGGAGGAATAGGCTGGGGAGGAAGAGGATGGAGAAGAGGATGAGGGAGGAAGAGGATGAGGGGAGGAAGGAGGATGGAGGAGGAAGAGGACGAGGGAGGATAGAGGATGGGGGAGGAAGAGGATGGTGAGGGAGGAAGAGGATGACCCCCAGGAGAGGATGGAGGAGGAGAGGATGTGGAGAGAAGAGGAGTTTGGAGGAAGAGGATGAGAGGAGGAAGAGGATGGAGGAAGTTAGAGGATGGGGGAGGAGGAAGAGGGAGGATGGAGGGAGGAAGAGGACGGAGGAGGAGAGGAGGGATGGAGGGAGGAGGGAAGAGAGGATGAGGGAGGAGGAGAGGATGGGGAGGAAGAGGATGGTGGAGGAGAGAGGTGGAGGAGATGGGGGAGGAAGAGGATGGAGGATGAAGAGGATGGGGAGGAAGAAGATGGGGAGGAAGAGGAGGGGAGGAAGAGGATGGAGGAGGAGAGAGGATGGGGAGGAAGGGATGGGGAGGAAGAGGATGGAGGAGGAGAGGAGGACGGAGGAAGAGGATGGGGGAGGAAGAGGACGGGGAGGAAGAGGATGGGGAGGAGAGATGGAGGAAGAGGGGGAGGAAGAGGACGGGGAGGAAGAGGAAGGGGAGGAAGAGGAGGGGAGGAAGAGGATGGGGGAGGAAGAGGGGGTAGGAGAGGATGGAGGAGGGAAGAGGACGGGGAGGAGGGATGGGGAGGAAGAGGATGGGGAGGAAGAGGAGGGGGAGGAAGAGGACGGTGGAAGGCGAGGATGGGGAGGAAGAGGAGGGGAGGAGAGGAAGAGGCTGGGGAGAGAGGATGGGGAGGAAGAGGATGGAGGAGGAAGAGGATGGGGAGGAAGAGGACGGGGAGGAAGAGGATGGGGAGGAAGAGGATGGGGGAGGAAGAGGATGGTGGAGGAGAGGAGGATGGGGGAGGAAGAGGATGGGGAGGAAGAGGATGGGGAGGAAGAGGACGGGGAGGAAGAGGACGGGGAGGAAGAGGATGGGGAGGAAGAGGACGGGGAGGAAGAGGACGGGGAGGAAGAGGACGGGGAGGAAGAGGATGGGGGAGGAAGAGGATGGGGAGAGAAGGAAGAGGATGGAGGAGGAAGAGGATGGGGAGGAAGAGGAGGGGAGGAAGAGGATGGGGAGGAAGAGGATGGGGGAGGAAGAGGATGGGGGAGGAAGAGGATGGTGGAGGAAGAGGATGGGGGAGGAAGAGGATGGGGGAGGGAAGAGGATGGTGGAGGAAGAGGATGGGGGAGGAAGAGGATGGAGGAGGAAGAGGATGGGGAGGATGAGGACGGGGAGGAAGAGGATGGAGGAGGAAGAGGATGGGGGAGGAAGAGGATGGGGAGGAAGAGGATGGGAGAGGAAGAGGATGGGGAGGAAGAGGATGGGGAGAGGAAGAGGATGGGGAGGAAGAGATGGGGAGGAAGAGGACGGGGAGGAAGAGGATGGAGGAGGAAGAGGATGGGGGAGGAAGAGGATGGGGAGGAAGAGGACGGTGAGGAAGAGGACGGGGAGGAAGAGGATGGGGACGAAGAGGATGGGGGAGGAAGAGGATGGGGAGGAAGAGGATGGGGAGGAAGAGGACGGGGAGGAAGAGGACGGGGAGGAAGAGGATGGGGGACGAAGAGGATGGGGGAGGAAGAGGATGGAGGAGGAAGAGGACGGGGAGGAAGAGGGATGGGGACGAAGAGGATGGGGAGGAAGAGGATGGGGGAGGAAGAGGACGATGAGGAATGAGGACGGGGAGGAAGAGGACGGGGAGGAAGAGGATGGGGACGAAGAGGATGGGGAGGAAGAGGATGGGGAGGAAGAGGATGGGGAGGAAGAGGACGGTGAGGAAGAGGACGGTGAGGAAGAGGATGGGGGAGGAAGAGGACGGGAGGAAGAGGACGGGGAGGAAGAGGAGGAAGAGGACGGGGAGGAAGAGGACGGGGAGGAAAGAGGATGGGGGATGAAGAGGATGGAGGAGGAAGAGGATGGTGGAGGAAGAGGATGGGGGAGGAGAGAGGATGGGGGACGAAGAGGATGGGGAGGAAGAGGATGGGGGAGGAAGAGGATGGGGAGGGGAAGAGGATGGGGAGGAGAGGATGGGGAGGAAGAGGATGGAGGAGGAGAGGATGGGGAGGAAGAGGATGGGGAGGAAAGAGGATGGGGGAGGAAGAGGATGGGGAGAAGGAGAGGATGGGGAGGAGGAGGAGGATGGGGAGGAAGAGGATGGGGGACGAAGAGGATGGGGAGGAAGAGGATGGGGAGGAAGAGGATGGGGAGGAAGAAGATGGGGGAGGAAGAGGATGGAGGAGGAAGAGGATGGGGAGGAAGAGGATGGGGAGGAAGAGGATGGGGAGGAAGAGGATGGGGAGGAAGAGGATGGGGAGGGGAGAGGATGGGGGAGGAAGAGGATGGGGGATGAAGAGGATGGGGAGGAAAGAGGATGGGGGACGAAGAGGATGGGGGAGGAAGAGGATGGGGGAGGAAGAGGATGGGGAGGAAGAGGATGGGGGACGAAGAGGATGGGGGAGGAAGAGGATGGGGAGGAAGAGGATGGGGGATGAAGAGGATGGGGAGGAAGAGGATGGGGAGAAAGAGGATGGGGGAGGAAGAGGATGGAGGAGGAGGAGGAGAAGAGGACGGGGATGAAGAGGATGGGGAGGAAGAGGATGGGGAGGAAGAGGACGGGGGAGGAAGAAGATGGGGGAGGAAGAGGATGGGGGAGGAAGAGGATGGGGGACGAAGAGGATGGGGGATGAAGAGGATGGGGAGGAAGAGGATGGGGAGAAAGAGGATGGGGAGGAAGAGGAGGGGGAGGAAGAGGATGGAGGAGGAAGAGGACGGGGAGGAAGAGGATGGGGAGGAAGAGGATGGGGAGAAAGAGGATGGGGGATGAAGAGGATGGAGGAGGAAGAGGATGGAGGAGGAAGAGGATGGAGGAGGAAGAGGAGTGGGGGAGGAAGAGGATGGGGACCAGACCATAGACTAGAGAGAGAGAGAGAGAGAGAGAGAAAGTGTGTGTGAATGAAAAACAATGCAGTTCTAGCGCCCGGCCTGTAGGGGGCAGAGCAACTTTACAACAACACACGTGAGCCCCCCCCCCCAAAATGGAAACTGAAACTAGAGCTTTGCGTGGTTTTGTTTGGACGAAGGAAGGAGTAGAATCCTCCCCCGTTAGCGAAGCACACGTAGCTAGTTAGCTACCCGCCGCCATTGTTGTTTACGTTTGTTCTACTGCGCATGTCCAAATGTCCGTGCGGGGAGCAGCAGGAGGTGGGGTCAGAGCGGCAGAAAATTCACACCTTTTTCTTCCTGCGGCTGTGAAAGAGCGCCCCCTGCTGAGCATCTGAGCGGTCCCACTCTGAGGCTGGATCTGAACGTTTACATCTGGAACACTGTCTCCATGGAAATGGGAGGAAGCAACCAACACCAACTACAGCGTTTTACTGCAGCAGCGTCTCCGTCTAAACTGGGCCTAAATGACGTTGTCCCATTGAAGAATCTAGGTCTGACCACGGATTAAACCAGGTCTGAACCAGGACTGAACCAGGTCTGAACCAGGACTGAACCAGGACGGAACCAGGACTGAACACACATTAAACCAGGTCTGAACCAGGACTGAACCAGGACTGAACATACATTAAACCAGGACTGAACCAGGACTGAACACGATTAAACCAGGACTGAACCAGGACTGAACCAGGACTGAACACACATTAAACCAGGACTGAACCAGGACTGAACCAGGACTGAACAGACATTAAACCAGGACTGAACCAGGACTGAACACGATTAAACCAGGACTGAACCAGGACTGAACCAGGACGGAACCAGGACTGAACACACATTAAACCAGGACTGAACCAGGACTGAACCAGGACTGAACAGACATTAAACCAGGACTGAACCAGGACTGAACACGATTAAACCAGGACTGAACCAGGACTGAACCAGGTCTGACACACTATTCTACTCTAGTTTGAGATTCCACGGCGGGAGCAGAAGTGGCGAGGAGAGCAGAAGTGGCGGTGGCAGGTGGCGTGTTTGGATCTTTGCCAAACCAGAGACTTCGGCGAGTCCTGGAGAGACAGATGTTCCGGAGAGAGCCGGGATTGATTCGAGAGCTCTACTTTGGCGCCGCAAGTGTCAAGACTCGAGACCGACGCAGATAGACCGGACCAACCGGCTCCGCACCGGGTCAGGACGGATGAGGATGTGGAAGATGAAGTGGATTAAAGGAGGAAGAAGAGGAAGAGGAGGAGATTAGACTCTGAGAACCTGGAGGAAAATGCAAAACAGAAGCAGTAAGTACCAGAAGTCCATGTGTCAGCGCAGACTTAAAGGGGAGGTCATGCAAGGTACAAGATTCAAGAAGTTATTCGCCATTTGCAGTAAAACCACACTGGAAAAACTTGACAAAACAAGTTGGATAATTATTTTTTTTCCCTTCATACTGCACCTGTTTTTTTCAGGGAATGTCTAACTGTTCTTTGTGGATTGTTGTCGTATTGTGTTGCATTGCTGTACAAAAATGTATAATAAAAAGTCAAAATAACAATAATAATGCGTTGTTGTGTGTTCTCAGGTGACAGGAAAACACTAGAAGAATTTTTTTATATTGATAATTATTATATTTCGATATTTTGTGCATTTTTAAAACAAAAGTACGGTGTATTTAAAGGTCACAGGCACAAGGAGAAAATAATCATCTGTATTTGTGTTTCCAGATTAAATACGCTTTAAAGTCTGTATCTGTGTAAATATCTCTGGGATAAATGATTCTGTGTTTTAAGTTTAGAAAGAGTTTTGAAGTTTATAATCCGTAAAAATATTTATGTTTTTATTGATATTTTTCTAATGTTGTGTTTGATCCTCTGTATTCTCCCGCTGAGTGTGACTGTGAGCAGGAGACGAACGACTCCGTGATCAGTAAAGTATTTATCAAACTGTTTCCACGGCGACTGAAGTCCAATGTGTTTGTGATCGGTGCATATTCTGTGATCGGACCGTTTGATTCTCTAATCTGGTGTTGGTGAATCATCTTTGCTGTGATCTAGGACTGGACCGACCCCCGCTGATCCAAGATGGCGGCGTTTTCAGATCAGTGGCTTGTGCTCCGTGGCGCCCCCCCATGGACACTGAAAGACCAGCGGAACTCGCCCATATTTGGTCATACCGCTGGTCTTCCTGGTTCTGTGCCGTGGACGAGCTCCCATGATGCTTTGCTCCAAATTCTAACGACGACAAGAGACACTAACATCAACTGAATCTGACCATTAGGGAAGCTAGAGGTTCTCTGTCAGGTTCTCTGTAGGTTCTCTGTCAGGTTCTCTGTCAGGTTCTCTGTAGGTTCTCTGTCAGGTTCTCTGTCAGGTTCTCTGTCAGGTTCTCTGTCAGGTTCTCTGTCAGGTTCTCTGTAGGTTCTCTGTCAGGTTCTCTGTCAGGTTCTCTGTAGGTTCTCTGTCAGGTTCTCTGTAGGTTCTCTGTCAGGTTCTCTGTCAGCTTCTCTGTAGGTTCTCTGTAGGTTCTCTGTCAGGTTCTCTGTAGGTTCTCTGTCAGGTTCTCTGTCAGGTTCTCTGTCAGGTTCTCTGTAGGTTCTCTGTCAGGTTCTCTGTAGGTTCTCTGTCAGGTTCTCTGTCAGGTTCTCTGTCAGGTTCTCTGTCAGGTTCTCTGTAGGTTCTCTGTCAGGTTCTCTGTCAGGTTGTCTGTCAGGTTCTCTGTAGGTTCTCTGTAGGTTCTCTGTCAGGTTCTCTGTCAGGTTCTCTGTCAGGTTCTCTGTCAGGTTCTCTGTAGGTTCTCTGTCAGGTTCTCTGTCAGGTTGTCTGTCAGGTTCTCTGTAGGTTCTCTGTCAGGTTCTCTGTAGGTTCTCTGTCAGGTTCTCTGTAGGTTCTCTGTAGGTTCTCTGTCAGGTTCTCTGTCAGGTTCTCTGTCAGGTTCTCTGTCAGGTTCTCTGTCAGGTTCTCTGTAGGTTCTCTGTCAGGTTCTCTGTCAGGTTGTCTGTCAGGTTCTCTGTAGGTTCTCTGTCAGGTTCAGGTAACGTGACTTCAACCTGCAGTACCACAGCGCCCCCTGTGTCCATAGTTGGTAATACTCTGAGTCAGGGGTCTCCAACCTGTGGCTTGGGAGCTCCCAGTAGCTCACAGTAGCTCATAGTAGCTCACAGTAGCTCATAGTAGCTCACAGTAGCTCCCAAGGATGAAGAACTGAACACATGACTCTAGGTGAATACATACATCTTTTAACATAAGGTTATACAGTGTTATGTTTTACTGATTTAAAATGGACTTAAATCAAAGTAAAGATGATAGAGTGATGTTTTTAATATAATTAAACCTTAATCAAAAACGCAGCCATAAAAACCTCCTCATTTGTTCTTGGTTGCCTCGTCTCGTGCTGTCGTGCGGCAATCATGGTGCGTTTAATGACCGCTGCGTGGGTCGTAAATCTGTAAATCTGTGACGGTGAAGCCGGACGTTTACGGTCCGTGACTCACCGTTTGTCTGGAGTGTGTGTGTGTGTGTGTGAGAGAGAGACCAGAAGGAGACCAGGGAGGCCAGAGAGAGAGACCAGAGAGAAACCAGAGAGAGACTAGAGAGCGACCAGAGAGAGACCAGAGAAAGACCAGAGAGAAACCAGAGAGAGACTTGAGAGCGACCAGAGAGAGAGACCAGAGGGAGACCAGAGAGAAACCAGAGAGAGACTAGAGAGCGACCAGAGAGAGACCAGAGGGAGACCAGAGGGAGACCAGAGAGAGACCAGAGAGAGAGACCAGAGAGACCAGAGAGAGACCAGAGAGAGACCAGTTTAGCCTCAACACTGCAAACAATGATAAATTATGTGGTAATAAAAGCTTGAATAAGTTGAATATTTTGGACAACACTATTTTTATCTGAATCTAACACTTTCTGTGATTTTACAACAGGACTAAGTTTTATTTCAAAAGCTCATTCATGTCTTTATTTTCTCTTTAAAGGAAGACATTTCTGTATCTTTTTAAAACAAGATCTTTTTTCTTTGTCCCATCGGAAAATCTTTTTTTTAAGGCTCAGTCCGAATGTGCTCAGATTCAGACACATTTTACCAAATGTTAGTGTTTTGTGACTGACTTTTCTTGCAGTAGAGTTTATTATATACTGTATCCGTCTCCTCTCAGCCCTGGCTCTCGACAACAGCGAAAGGACTCTCTTTTCCTCCATTCTTCCACTTTCTCTGCATTAATAGTATATATTTCTAACAACTGCCGGTCTGAAGACTGTCCCTGAGTAACCACGGCAACGGGAGGAGGGCAAAGGAGGCATCATCGGATCATAACGACCATCTGCAGTCTGATGCTTTTAAGGAGCGAAAAAACAAAGTGGGCAGAGCCAGAGCCGAGTGGATTTCTGAGAGACAGTAATGACAGGGACCGGAGCCGAGGGGGGCCGAGGGGGGCCGAGGGAGGCCAGGAGGGGGGCCAGGAGGGGGGCCAGGAGGGGGGCCGCGAAAGTGATCCGACCTTCAGATGTGGAGGCGAGAGAAGAAAGAGAGAACAGAGAGAGAGAGAGAGAGAGAACAGAGAGAGAGAACAGAGAAGTGAGAGAGACCAGAGAGAGAGGAGAAACAGAGAGAGAGAGACCAGAAGAGAGAGAGAACAGAGAGAGAGAGACCAGAGAGAGAGAGAGAGAGAGAACAGAGAGAGAGAGAGAGAGAGAGAGAGACAGAGAGAGAGAGACCAGAGAGAGAGAGAACAGAGAGAGAGAGACCAGAGAGAGAGAGAACAGAGAGAGAGAGACCAGAGAGAGAGAGAGAGAGAGAACAGAGAGAGAGAGAGAGAGAGAACAGAGAGAGAGAGAGAGAGAGAGAACAACGTAGCTCATCCTCCGTATTACGTATGGAGGATGAGCTACGTTTGTCTGAAAGTCTGTGTTCAATCGGATCTTTGAGCGGTGACCCGTGAGGTACAAACAGCCGTGAGGTAAAAAGTAAGAAAGTAAATAATTATTTATTTACCGCCTTTCACAGACCAGAGTCACAAAGCGGTTTACAATTGTTATTTTTGGGCATTTGTCTCTCACTCCACACAGAGATGGGAGCGGGGCAGTACAGGAGGCACATGCCAGAACTATTGTGCATGTTTTTAGTGGTAGGGGAAACCGGAGTACTCGGAGGAAACCTACGCAGACACGGGGAGAACATGCAAATAACAATCAGAAAGGCCCTGGTCTGACCGGGATTCGAACCCAGGACCTTCTTGCTGAGAGGCAAGAGTGCTATCCACTCAGCCACCGTGCGGGGCAGGTCCCGGCTGAAAAGTGTCCAAAAAGACGTGCGCTGACATGCTGCAATACCACCCCAGGCCTGTGGGGGGTGGACCCAGAAGAAGAATTAGCCAATGCTAACATATAGCATCTTCTTACCTCTGGAAAACGTCTTTACAGGATGGTCCAAAAGTTGGTTCTTGGCCCAAAGCTCCGTTCCACATGTGTGTCAATGTTGAGGGGAGTGTTCTGGACCAGTCTAGTTTAGTCGCTGTGGACTTTAGAAGTCTCTCGTTTAAATGAATGGAGCTCGTGCAGCTGACGCATGCGCAGATGTGTTTTTTCACATTTTCCAGCCCCCGCGGCCATTTTGAATCACTCCATGAGAGCCCAATTTTTGGCTTTAGTTAGAACGGCGGAGATAGGCGTGACTATGTCCGTTAATATCTACAGTCTGTGTCACAAACTCACTCTCTGCCAAAGATCGTCAGAGAGTGAGATGTCTCACTCTGTGTGCACTTGTCCCACAGTTGAAACTACAGCTGCGATTGCAATAACCGACTGAAGAGTGCGCATTATTGATATAGACAATAATAAATACAGTAAAATAATATTATGTGTTTACGATGTAGATAAATATTTGTATTAGATGTTTTTATTTTGTCTTAGTTTCTTATGTTTTATGTTTTTTACAGCTGTGATACTGAAGAAACACAGCCTCACAGACAAACTGCTTCAGGAAGGGCATCAGGAGTACAGCGTTGTTGTCTTTTATAGTGGAATTATGTAAAATTATAAGAATCACAGATTCAGTATTTTTTCCCATTAACCCCAAGATCCAAAATAACGTGTTTTTTCAATACATTTTGTTGAAATTGATTTTCCATTTGATTTTTTTCTTTGTCTTCATGATTCCATACTTTTTATATGATAGA